ACAGCGTCAGCATGAATGTTTCAGTAAAGCCAATCGACAGCTGGTCAAGAGGAATCGGCCGTCGTCTTCTCGTGAAATCAACCTTCGAATCTCTTTACCCAACACTTTCACTCGAAACGGAAGTAAGCTCAGAAATTAAAAGGCACTCCAACAGCTTTTTGGAATGATTGCCCAGTGAGATTAAACGCAAAAGTGAACTCTCCGAAAAGGATATATTTTAATGACAACTTTATATCCACTGAAGCCCTCACAAACTATCCAGCCCAGCTCTTCGAATGAAATTCGACCATTCACCAAATTAGTAGGCCTGAAAAATATCAAGAGCAGATGAATAAGGGGAAGAGTTGCTGCATCAGATGATGATGAAGATCCTAAAAAGCCCCTGAATTTAATTTAGTATTGTCTCCCAAAAGGCATCATCCCATAGACTTGAGTACGTTTTCGAATCAGACTTATTCTCATAATCATCCTCGACGGAATTCGAAGCGTAATCGTAAGCATCAAGCGGTGACATTATCACGTCCTAACACAGCCCCAAGGGATAGTGGTTCACCGATAAAAGGAGAACTTCAAGGCGAACCAGATATCTCCAAATAACAATTTTGAGACATCTAGAATATGGAAATTAGAGGAAAAAGGAGTAGCATTGCCCTAGTTTCACAACTTGATTGTGTTGTCAGGATGACAGCAATTAGTTCAGCTTGCCTTGAGTCCTCTGTCATGACTAGCAAGTCATAATAACTTCCAACGTCAGACAAGGAACTTTGTACATTCCAATATGTTTCGCCGGCAAAGTAGTCGACGTCTTCAGTAAGCTTTGCCATTCTAAGCAAAAAAGTAAAACTCGCAAAATAGAGAGACGAAATCCATCCTCTGGCCACGTTTACGCAAACAATTGTGGCATCTCTCGTCAATTATTTTCTGGTAAACCAAGCTACGTCTAATTTGAAAAACAGTCAAAGGATGGGTTCCACTTGTCTCTTTGACGAAGTTTAGCATGTTACAAAGAATGGCAAGTCCATTCTATATAAAAGTGTGTGTAAAACACTATACCATATCATATGCCTACATATTCGTAAACACTTGACCAGTGATTCCCAAACTGTGCGCCGCG